TGCGGTCAGAATTCTAGCCCTGGATCAAAAGAAGTGTTTATGTAAAAAGATGATACCAACCTATAAATTATAAAATATATGGCTATATTTCCGTAATATTGTGTACCTACATTAAGTATTTATACTAATAAACGTTATTATTGTTATGTAATTTATTTGGTTTTATTTGATGTTATTGAATTTTTAAGCTTTTGATCCATGACCAAAAAAATGTAACAACAAGTTACATCGAAAAACTCAAAAACCCTGTGATTTTACGAGAAAAACGATGTGTAATAAAGCACTCCGTGGATTTAAATTTTTCCAATTTGCTTAGTAATTTTATATTTTTCTTTAGAATGTTCTATATTAGAGTATAGTTTTGCCATTTAGAATCCTTGTCAATCTTGCTGTGAGTGGCGCTCATTCAGATTGTATTGTTATCAGTATTATGTTTATTCTATAATAATATTAGCTAACTATCTAACAAAATATATATTATGCTGTATATTATACATATATGTTATTGCACAGAGCCCACTACATTGCATGATATATTATCAATAGAAATAAAGTATTTGTAACGTGTTCAATACGAGTACCTATACTAGATAATATATAATATGTTATATAATATGACAATTTATTGGATATTAAATATTAATTTTAATGTAAGACACTAATTATTTCATAAGCTTTGAACGTTTTTTTACACCATTTTAAGTCACTAAAAACAACAATTTCTTAAAAATTAAAATATTTATAAGTGTTGGGAACAAGGTACTAGGTAATAAATAACTTGTCTAAAATTGGATTTTTATAGATCAAATACTCATAATAATTCAAATAATATTAATAATAGATATTTCTTTTGTTTTTCACTGTGCTTTTGAAAACTACTGGGAAATTTTTACTTTTGACCCCCCAAAGTACCAACCAGTATGCACTTGACTACTCTGCGAACTTTCCCCCCTCAATATTCATTATTATTATCATGATAATTGATAGTCAATCATAAAATACTTTTTTACTATCGTAAATGTAGTTAAACCAGGTTACCCCATCCAAATTAATTAATAACTTAGATGTGAATATGAATATATATACGTAATATGTGTGTGTGTTAATGTGTTATGTACTGTATGACTACCCTGCCAGAAATTCTGCGAAATCCTTATAAAATACATCCAAACGTTCGTAATTATCCATCTAATGGAATTTTGGTACTTTGGGGAGTCAAAAGTATAATTTTTAAGTAGTTTTCAAAAGTGCCGTGAAAAACAAAAGAAAAATTAAAATAGAACGGGAATTTTTACACACAATCTGTTTTCAAAAAAAATAATTTTGGTTTTGGTGCAACCCTTAAATAAATGACCGTAGATACATAAAATTTTGACTGAATGTTTATATTAGCATTTTCTGTACACGATAAAATTTTCAAAATATTATGATTTGATTTGAACTGTTAAGGAACATTTTCATTTTCCATATTTTTTTAGTTTTTTTTCTAAAAATATCAATAAAATTGTATTTGTTGGTTAAAAAAGCTTGAAAATTAAATAGAGGGCTATTAGTATATTGTTTCAAAGGCAGATGAAAAATATTAAAAATCGTTAGTCACAGTTTTTTTTTATAAGCATATAAAGTTCAAAAATTGACAAAATATGGAAAAAGCACGAAAATTAGCAAATTATTTTGAGTTAAGAATTCGTAAAAATTTTTCTTTTTAATTCTAAGATTTGAAAATGTAATACAAGATTCCTTATAAGATTATCTACCTTTATCAAAAAAAAAATGTCTATAAGAAAGTCAAATTAAATTTTTATGAGCCTTCGAAATTCGTAATATTGTATAAACGAACAATTTCAAAATGTTTTAACTTAATGGATTTTTTTAAATCAACCGAGAAAAGCTAAGTTATTTCAATTGTAAATTAAACTATTTAAGTTCATAAGTTGATTAGAAAATAAACTAACTAGTTAAGTTAAAAAGTTAAAAAAAAATTAACTTTTTAACTGAACTTTAACTTTTCAACTAGTTAATGCCCACCTTTGCATATTATTAATATTTAATTATTGTAATAGTATATACGATACATATCGTTAATATCTTATATATTATTTTAATTAACTTTTGAGACAATACCGGCCTACCGTAGTACCGTAGAACTGTGTGAATATGTTTATGGTATTATAAATAGGCGATAGCATAAAATTATTCTAAATGTTTTGAAAATGTTATTGTGGGCATAAAATATAATAATATACGTTAAAAATTGAAATTCAAACGAAAAATATTATTGAAATACAACAAAATTAAGAAAATAACTATTTTTAAATTAAATATCTAATTTATAATAAATGTCCAATTTCGTCTAAATATGAATTTAAAATGTCTATAAAAAAATAGTAGTTTTTATATAATTTTTAACTATTTTTTTCCCACGTAAATTGAAACTGAAATTTTTAATTTTAACTTCCCAAAAGTACCTATTAGATTCTCTTTTTTACCAGAAAAGATATTTAAATTGAAAATCGTGTCATTTAGCGTATTTTAAATCGTGTTATACATCGACAAATAAAAAACTTCATTGTAAAATAAATACATTCATCGCTGCTCCGTTTAAATCAAAAATAATAAACTCACGGCAAACTAAACTGTTTGTTTTTTTTCAAAACATTAATAAAAACTATTCCACCCACGCACCACCGGATTAAAGAACAAAACAATTTTGGTTTAAAAGTACAACGCGTACCGTAAATAAATAATAAAAACGGGTTTGCCTGTGTTGGCTACAATGACTGTGATTGGACAAAAGTATTGGGAAACATTCATTAGCTCATGACATCAGTTTATTCAGAAACATAAGAGAGGTTTATAACTTGGTGGGGGCGTATATGACGGGCTTGACGACAAGTGCCTATTAAACACATGTGATTTGAACGAACTTTGAAGTCACTCGTTCGCTGTTCGAAAATATTTTGACCGACAACGATTTCTGCAGTTTCATTACAAACGTCAAAATCATTCTTGACGTTTAGCAAATTTTCCACCAACTTTTCGCGCTAATGAATTTTATACAACCCGAAAAACACGCCGTTCCCGAAGCTCTCTTCCCCGAAAATTTGACTTATAGAAGTTTATTGAAATCAAATGTAATCCCTCATTAACCGCACTTCAAACATGGATAACTGTTATTTGTTATTAATTGTTCGGTGCTAGGTATATAATATATTATGTGAAATTAAAATCAGCTCGTCAAAGTGTGCAGGTAAATCGTATATCATTATCCAAGCATTCATTTAGCTGTAAAAAATGTTTTTAGTAGTCTGTCTAAGGTTTTCGAGGTCATAGGTATAAATACTTGATATTCAAACTGAGTACTTAACTAATTTCGGAGTAATCGTAATACCGATTACTTGAAATATTCAACGATAAATTAACCATACCTAATCATTATATAAGTGAACTTGTAATTTTAGTAACGTTAAGGTTCAGATATGCCATGATTAAAATTCCTTACTGGTAAAGCTGATAAACTACGAAGTGACTATTTAGATAATATTATAGGTAGGTATACTAATCAAAAGGTAAATACCAACTTCGAATATGTTGGACTTACGTTGTGGTAGTGACCCTAATTCTAATAATTTTTCAACAGAATGCGCGGATAAACCGTGGATCTAGAAATAATGGTTTCTAATGCAATTTTAGTTTTTTTTTTTACTATTTATTTTATTAGTCTCGGGAGCTTTTAGTCGTGGAGTTAACTCAATTGGGTGAAAAATACTAAAGATATAAGAATAAAATAAATAGGTTCTTTCTCCGTTCCATTAGTTTTAATGTTACATTAAAAAGTTTTATCATTCCAAATTATTTTATATAGTTTAGTATTAAACTTAAACGGTTGTATATGTATTATGTAATAATTCGAACGTATCTATATTTGTTTACCTATAGGTTACTTGTATTTAATTTTCAAAGTAATTAGTTAGTTTACCTCATTAAAATTTTCTCTGTGTTATTTAATTTTTATATAATTTAAAATATATAGTTACATTAAAAAACGATTAGGACTGTTTTAAACTTTTAAAATAGCCTAGTTAAATAGCATATATTTATATAAAATTATAATTATTTATTATTCTGCCACATTTTCTCTACAAAAAGAACATCGGCTTTTTTCATAACTTTTTTCCCAACTAAAACTTGCAACCTTTTCATTCTGTGTACCTACATAAAAAAAACCACATCATTTTTAATTTCTTAGAATAAACAAAAAGGTGCATAATCAACTTAAAATCTAAAAGAAACTTTAACTGAAGCTAACAAAAAAACTACTCAAGTTTATGAGTACAATTAATAAAATTTTAATTTAATTAAAAAAAACATTTTCAGACATTTTTTTTCGATAGGTAGTGCATACGATAGGGTGACAATGTGACATTATACATAAACTGAACAATCTAATAGTATCTAATAGGTATTATATTGGGAATTTACATTATAGTTGTTTACCTTGGCCGTTGTCATCAGACAATGTATTTTAACACTCATATACAGGAGTATTATGTTTTATATAATATTATGTATCACTATTGTTAGCTAAAATAAATTATTGTTGTTATTCACTACGGAACAATATTGAAATTTACGTATTGTTATTAGATATCATTAGTTGAGCAATATACATCCTATCGATAATATCGGTACAGATGTTTAGAGGTTGCTAAACAACGATCGGAATAAATTCGATAAAAATCAATGATTATAGCTGATAACGGTCCATATTACAATAATTATATTGTTTTACTATCAATACCTATTATAATAGATACCTAAAAACCAGAATCAAATACGAGTTCTGCATGTAAGTGCGGTACTGCAGCTGGTGTGTATTCATCAAACTACAAGTTGAAATTTAAACGCGTCACGATTTTATTTACCTACTGATTTATCATCCGTGTTTGCTGACTAATAACAATATTATTATTATTTTATCGCGACATTATCGAATCGTAATGGAATTAGGATTTCCGCCCTACTGCAGACATCCCGGTGCCAGCGAAGTCGTCCTCATTCGTCCTTCATATTGTGTCAGTTGTCGTCGGCAAACAGAACACGCCAACCCTCCACAACTGCGCGTGCTGAGAAATGGGCGTCCGGCTGCGATGTCTTTCTGTTTTTTCTGTCACAAAAAAAGGATACGATTGGTATCGTTTAGTTGGTTTCACGCCAAAACCGGGAACAGGTAAACCGTTACCAGAGCACACAATTTAGTAGGACCTAACCTATATATGTAGTAAGACAATACATCACGCAGTCGCATTTATTTTATGTACAGGGTGGTTCTGAAGAGGAAACATTTAAGACGGACAAGATATCGTAAGACTCGATAGTTTCCTAATACCGGCTGATAATAATAATAATCATATAATTTACAAAAATAAAAACTGTTATTGCCCAACTTGCGTGTTAATTTTTGGATGGATATACATTAATAATTCCGAATGGAAATGCTCATGTTGTAATATATAACGCTCTACAAATAGTTACAAAAAAAACTAAGTATTGTGATAGTAGTATATTGTTTATAATATAGTATAATGGTATTGTTTGTTATATATTTATAAAGTATAAAGTATTGTGTAAAATGTATAGTATCTACTATCTATAGTACTATACTGTACATAATATTATAATATACAGGGTGGTCCATTTAACGTGAGAAAGTTTATCGTTTAACCAATTACTTTTCGTATAATACCTAAGTGTCTTACGTTAAATGAATCACCCTATATTTATATCTACTGTAAATACCTGCATGCGGAGAACACAATGATATGATTAATTCAACTAAAATGTTGTAGCTATGAAATATAGTTTAATAATGTGTAGGTACAGTTTGTAATGTGTACGATAAATTAGTGAAAGGTATAACAAATATTGTAAAACTACACATTTAACACAAATGTGAGTAGGTACATTAGTACGAACAATTATTAGGTATATTTCTGTTTCGATTCTAACTGATTATTAATTTGATAGTTCAAGATTCAAAACATTTTACCAACAATAATTATTATACTTTTAAATAATATAAATTATTACATACTAAAGTACGTAGGTAAAATGTAAGGTACAAATTGTAGGTACATTTAAAATGTAATTAGCTTATAAAATATTTTTTAATTATTCTCCTTACACGAAGCAAGGATAGTAATTCAATTTTAATTTTAATTTTAAAACAAATGTTATTGCTTATATTTTTATCTTTTAAATGTATTTTTGGATTGATTTTTGTGCATAATATTTTACGTTCTACAATTCTACCTAAAATTTTCATTTTTATAAAAAAATAGAAAATTCACTGTAGGTAAATAATGGACCCATATTGTGTTAACTATTTGAAATCTTAATATTGTTATTAATCTAAATTTGGTCAGCTGAAATGTGTACGGTTTAAAAACAATATTAATGATCGTACCAATAATTGGAGTATTATTCTGCGCCCAAATATTCGTTTCAGGCGTTGAAAAATATAAAAAAAAAGTCGGCACAATTAATATTATATTAATATAATATGATTTTATATACTTATAATATATGAACTAAGTTGAGAATTGTTATCATATGGCATAGTCGGAATTTTAAAATATTGTTTGACCACCACTTCTTTTTAACATCGAATAATCTTCGTTTTTTTACAAATTTGATTCGCATAAAACGATAGTGATCACCAATGTGTTAAAAAGAAGGGGTACTTATTATTGAAATTAATCGCAGATTATAAAATACATAATATATTTAATTCCTCTCAGCAGACCGTACAGGTACAACGTCACATACCGTGTTTAATTTCACGTACAAATAACAATGAAAACGCCGTAGGTACTACGATTTATATATATATATATAAATTATAACATCCCAAGCGTTTTATTTTTAATACGCGAATAGTGTTTTATTTTTTTCTCTCTCTTTTCAATCGTTACAAATGGAACTTTTAACTTAACGTTGCGTTGAAAAAGTTTTTTGAATTATTAAACGTCGCCGAACTCGCGCAGTTCATGTCGCAGGCAAACTCCGGCCCGGCGATAACTGCCGAACGGCGACGATAAAAACCCACCGATAGCGCACGCAATTTACCAAATGTTTATCGTCCCTATATTATACGACGTACCTGTCTTGAAAGAAAATCTACACAGCATATTATAGATTTCCACCGGTGAAATGTTGATGGTTTCTACGACGATGACGACGACAATTTCCCCGGGCCCCATTTAAATATACCGTTCGGTTTTATCGCAACGCGCCGGCAATCTGTCACCGCTGTACGTAATGTGAAAATAATAATAACAATAACAATAATAATAATAATAATGACGATGACGATGATAATTTGTTTGCCGACGGGCGACAACTTGACACGGACTCGACAGTGGAAATAATAAATTGTTCTTGCTCGGATTTGTTCGTCGCACTCGAAACTGTACATTTCGTACCTTTATACATTGGCCAATTTTCTTGTCGATGGCATTAGCATTTTCAAAGCTTAAAACGCGATAATACGCGACTCGTGTCGAGGTCGACACTTGTATAATAACGGAATCCTTATCATATCTCTATAAATATTCCGAAGCCGATATTCTCCTAATGGATAAAGACAACACCGACAACGCATAAAATCCAACGAAACGGTTTCGGACACCAAAGTTTATAGTTGAATTGCTTTTAAGCTGTGTAACCGAGAAAAACAATTAATGTTATGCTTGACTGTGTGACCGCGGTTTGTCATGATACCGTTTTCAACCTTTTTGAGTCGTAGTGAAACCATATACCACGTTTATACTTTTTTATCGCTCGTTTTTTTTTCTCAGATTCTTCATAGTGCTGCAGGTGAGTGTAAGACGTAAATCGGTGGAGAAACATTGTGAAATCTCCCTGATGAATATTTTCCCACGAGGGTCAAATTATTGGTGGAGAACTACAGCAGTGTAGTACGGTAAAATCGATGTCCTTTTAGCGGGACTCTACTCCTTGGACATGGTGCAATTACCTAGGTGGAAAAACACGAATAGACTGTGAACACACAAATACTATATATTATACTGTTATGGTATATACGACATACGTGATATTGAAACTACCGCCCATCCGATATGTTGAAACGAAGTATTTTCACGCACTGCCTCGTGAACAACAAACTTATGTCTCTGGTTTTGGTTAATGTGCTGTTCTTTATTAAATCAAAGAATATACCTATGCACATGGTATTATGTACCCATTCTACAGGTTCAGTAAATTATACAAATAAGCGATTGAGGATGAACCCTATAATATGGGGTCAAGATACAGATGATTTACCCCAGATAGTCTCAGTGAATCATATTATGATCTCTAACGAACCATTTCAAGTCCATGCGGGTTGCCCAAGCCTATCCCCGTGAGCCAACCATGCGGCAGAATCGACTTAGGACGAGGAGCCACGAAACAATGCGCGTAAAGACGTTATTGTGCGCATCGGAAAATGGCAAGGTGTGGGCAATCTCGACCCTGAGATCTGTACTTACAGCTGTTGATGATGTAGTGGACAGTCGTGGAAGTTGACATTGTTGATGGTGTCGGCGATTCACTTGAATGCGTTTCCAAGAGCTGGCGATTGCGACCCGTCCTTGGAATTTACTTGTTCTAGTGGCGGTAGCGCCGGGATTGACGATGCAGGCGGGTTTAAGTAGCCGTGAAAACGGCTGTTTTATAATAGTCAATAGTCATCTTGACCCGTTAAAATAATGGTTAGGTACGCTGTACATTTTCGATCATCACTCAAGGTTCGTTGGAAACAATTTGATAACAAATTAAAAATTTGACAACAACGAATTAATGTGTGTTTAATTTATAGCTTAATATTATAGTCTCGAGGGACAGGGTAGGATCTACCCGGTTGACGGTATACAGTACTCGTCACGAAAACGTGGTGGTGGAAATTTCCCGTTCGTGGTCGGTAAACCGTGTGATATTTTAGCATAGTAACATGCACCTGAGGCGCCAGCTTTTACATGTAAAAAATATTGAAATCCAATTGTTTATGGAAAACCCACCACTCAGCACACTTTAGGTTAGGTGGCACGCGTTATCGTGACGAGTACTGTAGTAGAGTAGAGTAGAGTACACGACTACCAGAGAGTCGGAGAGTGCTGGCCAGTATGTTGAAGGAGACAGTCAGTGACAAGGAGGAAAAGCCAGTTCAATGTAATGTTATTAGTGTTAAGTTAAGTATAATTATTAGTTTGTAAATGGTTGATAAAAACATAGTACCTATGTGTAGTTAAATTGTTATATAATTTAAGGTGTAACCACCTTTTCTAGGGACATAGTACCTGTACCACGTGGAGTTGAGATACTCTATAGGCTAAGTTAAGTAGTTATTGGAAACTTCAGACCGTGTGTGATGAGAGATTAGACGGTCCATCATTCCGTATACACTAAGGATTAATTAAAGACAAATTTGTTGCTTTAAGTATTTCAGTGGCTATAAAAATCGTGGATAAACAAACACTTAGATATTTTACATTTTAATTTGGACTCTACACTTATCTGATATCTCTAAGATTGAGCCTCTATAAGCTATAAACATTTGGACATTGCTTTTTAATAATATTATCATAATATAAATTAAAGAAAAGTCTCCTTTCTATTTTGTTTTTTTTATTTCTGGTTGCGTTGGTTGTATAATAACTAATATAACTGTTTTATTTTCTATAACCAATGGCAACCCAACGTATGACAAAAAATATTCGATTTTTGTGAGCCAAAACGAAATGCATGCTTGATCCTGTACTCTATAACAACTATTAGGAGTTTAAAAATGAAGTTATAAACACTATCCGAGTCACAAGATATATGTATAGATATATATATAAGATAAATTGATGCAAACCGCTTCAGTAGTTTCCATGTCTAAAAGTCCCATACAAGCGTAAATTTATTTATATAATATTTACCTTGTGTCCGAAAAAACCATTTTTTTTTAAATTTTTAAAATTTTTTTTAAGATTTTAATTTTGAGATCTATATGATCTAATTATTTAAGTTCGAAATAATGCAAACCATGGATTCCTAAACTTGTGTAGTTAGTAGTTACCGGAAAATGAGAATATTATAAAATACAGGGAAGTATAGTAGACCATATAATATAGTACGTCTGGAGCAATTGAAGGGCTAGATAGGTATAGATTTAAAATCCGTTCAGTAGTAATAATATCATATAGATTAGTATACTATATTATATTTATTTATTAAGTATAATTTTAAACTTGTAGATATAGATTTTGAAATTGTATACCTACGCGTATAGTCATTGGCCAACGTATTATTTTAATACGATGGTAAATGGCTT